AAAATAATATTTGAATAATTTTATATACCTAATCAAACATATTCACTGATTGATTATTATTATTATTAAATTAGTATTATTAAATTCCAGCTCATTCCACAAATTTCACTCAATCGAGGCATACCCGCTTCCGCCATATGTTTGATCACAGGGCATGCAAACAGAAATCAAAATGCGTTTGTGCTTCTGCCGCTACCTGTTGCCTCTGCCGCTGCCGGCGTCGCTGCTGGCGGCAAAACATATTTTGACTTTCAGCTTAGCTTTAGTGGCAGCGGCGGCGTCAGCTCTCTGCTGGCTCTACTTATTCATTCTGCTTCTGTTTAACCGTTTGTTGTTGTTGTTGTCCCGCTCTSGCTGCCTCTCTCGCTCGCGTTCTCTCTCGCTTGCCTGGTGCCATTGTATTTCGCTTTAGTTTGCTGGGGCATCGTTCCGCTGCACCGTTGGCATTTACTGTTGTTTTTGTTGTTGCTCTGCTCTTGCTGTCGTCGTTGTTGTTGTTGCCTTTTCTGTTGCTCTTCTTGTTGTTGGTTATCTTGTGACTCTGTTTATGTTTTCAGTGCTAAGTTGTTCGCATTTTGTWTGAGCTGCTTTGCCATTTGTTGCTGTCGCTGGCTCAAGCTCTGCCGCTGCCGCTGCTGCTGCCGCTGCCTCTGCCTCTGCCTGGCTGTTGAGCAGCGTCTATTGATAATATTTGTCTTGCCTTGCATATAAATCAATGTTGGTCATTTCGATTGGCATCCAAACTATGCAACAGGCCACAGCGATTCAGTCACTCAGCCAGTCAGCTAGTCAGCTAGTCAGTCAGTCAGTTAGTCAGTCAGGGTCGTCGCCAAGGGGGTTATTAACTGGCCGCTAATGTCGGGTAGCTGTTAATCGATTGTTTATTATTATTCCAGCCAGAGCTGACGTTAATCGACTTAACAAGCGACTGAAAGTGTGCTTAGAATTGAAGGAAATTTGTCAAGAGGCCATCGCTTTTAATGAAATAAGTTAACAAATTCATAAAAATAAGTATATATTTAATCGCGAAATGTTTTAGCTTAATGAGAAGATATCTATAAAGATCTTAATATGTAGCTCGCAGTTTAATTTATGAAAACTTAGTTCAGATGCTGCCATTATATTCTTTTGCTGCCCCCTTCTGCAGGCGCGCACCTGGTCGGCGTTTAGTGCCAAACAAATGAAATAACTACAACTGTTTCGACACCTTGCCAGCATGTTGAGCATTTGAGCTGTTGTGAATTTGGGCTTATTAAACACAAAGCGACAGTCATGTGACATCAGCTACGAGATGGCCAGCCAATTGGCTAGCAGCCGGGCAGCGACGTCAGCTGCTACAGCAACTGGCTAATAGGTCTTTAGATACTGCTGTTTGGGAACTCAATTAAGACGGCAACCCCGAACAACAAATTGACGGCAGCACGCCGAGACCGAAGACCCAAGCTCAAATTCAGACTCAAACTAAAAACAAAAAGCAAATAATCGAATATGTAGGAATAAAGCATTTGAATGTTAACGACTGCGAGATACTTGTTCGCAGTACAAARGTAAACCAATTTATGTATGTACATATTTTAGATAACATATCTGAGTTGATTGTTAATGTACTCTTTGTTGGGCTTTATTTATCAAATTTGTTGGCCGTAACTCTCTACATTTTATTGACTAAATTGTTATATTTATCTTGGCTAAATGAGCACTTGTATATATTGAACAGTGGAGTGAGAGGACGCTGCGAGACAGTGGTGTGGAAGAGGGGAAAGGAACAGTGGAGTGAAATAATGAAATGGAATATTAAAGCAAACAGCGAAGGTACAGTGGAATGGAACAGTCATATGAAGCACGCATCGATGTGTAATCTCTGATATCCATCCGTTTCAGTCTATGCATTACTGCAAACCAAAATACTCTCTTCTATTGTCTGAACGAGCATTCCACAGATTCGTGGAGTGGCTGACCTCCTCCGAAATGTATTCAGTTATAATTTGTGCTAATAAAATCGTTGGCTATGTTTATGCATGGATCGAATAGATGTATTTATATATATTTATACTAGGTACATACATACATACATTCGTATGGTTGACCCATTTGATAGATTTCGATTTGCTTAACGCTGACAGCTTCAATGGATTTCGCATTGAGGTGGGTCAATCGAACCTCAGTTGGCTACGTTAATAATGGTTTTATTTATTTACGGTATCTCTCACAGCAGGTGGTTGGCTTGCTCACACATTTTTCGGTGGTGGTGGTGGTATTGGTCTGGCGCTATCTTAAGCACCATCCGTTGCATAATTAGACACGCTGGCGTTCTCGCCGCTGTCTCATAAATTCCGCGGAAGATGTTTGTTATCATCAAATATTAATCGTGGACTTATAAATTCTCGCTTAATTAATTGCCGTTCGATTAGCATTGAAATGAACATGATTATAGCTAAGTGGTGTGGTATGTCTGGGTCGGATGTGGCTCACCAGGCGGCTGTGTCGCACGGTAGCTCAGCCGGTGCTGGAGCGTGCGCCTCGTAGGTAACCACGGGGGGCGGGGCATGGACCGACACTCGGGTGTAGGTGGGCTGGGTGTGTGCGTGGTATGTGACTGGTGGTGGCGGTGGTGGTGGTGGGGGAGCATAGCGGGCCACAACGACTGCCGGCGGTGGAGGCGGTGGTGGAGCATAACGAGCTACAATTACAGCCGGTTGTGGTGGTGGTGGCGGTGGTGCTGCGTAGTGTACAACGGGCTGTGGTGCCTGGGCCACGTGCAGAACAGGCTGCTGCGGCGGTGCTGCAAATCCTGAGTAGGTGGTGGTTGTAGTGGTTACAGGTGGGCCCAACGAATACTTGATAACTGGAGCTGGCGCTGAGTAGGCGCTAATGTGTTGCGTAGCGTATTTGAAGTGTGGTGGTGGTGGTGCAGAGTATGTAACGTGTTGAGGTGGTGCAGCAGCATAGGTGAGTGTAGGTGGGGCGCTATACACGGTATTCACGGCGACAGGCGAGGGTGGGCCATGGAAGAAGCTGGCTTGGGTGTGCGATGAGAGACAGATGAGGAAGAGCGAACCGAACTGAAAGAGAAAGGGAGAGTTAGAGTGAGGTGAAAGTGGAATGGCAAAGACGAAGACAGAAGAGGAATTATAAATTGCAGTGAGACAGTGGAAGATCAACAATGGAACAGATGTATTGAATATTGAAATGGAACGGTGGAATGAAAACTGTGTGTGTAATGTAAAACTAAACAGCTGAATGGTATAAGAGAATGAGCCAGTGGTATATAAATACGAATCAGTGAATCAGTGGTGTGGAGCACGCATGGAACAGTGGAATGAAGCAATTGGGAAATTGAAAATGCCTTGAACCCAGCTGGGCAATCCAGGTTTATATTGAATTAATCTCCAGTTAGTTATAGCTGAGATGTGAGTCGAATAGAATATATAATCTTTGGACTATATTGACCTATCCGATCCAAGATGCAGCTCACTTTGCACTATTCAGGTGTTGTAATACTGAAACACCCGAAATACTCACAATCTTCCACATTTTGAAGCACGGCAATTGACGATTTGTAGACGCGTTTATTAGTACGTTTGGACAATCAAAGACTTTCACATCAAATGAATTGTTTTCGTTGAACATCAGAGGTTTTTATACTCTTACTCTAGCGATTACGCAGTATGTGACAGAAACTCCATTACGGGAGCAGTTCACGCAGCCAAGGGCCACGTCCCATCGACAAGCGAATCGTGATGCCAAATGCACGCGGCACGTTTCGCAATCCCAATGCACTGTCTCCAAGGGGGCCACGAGGGGGTGTGGTTCAGTGGAGGCAGCTAGCGGCAGGTAGAGAGTGAGCAATAAAATTGGTTTTAGAAGTTGACTTAGGTTGTGGCAGTGACGAGGGAGTTCCAATTCCGATTCCAGTTCCGTAAGGAATTGCAGGCACGTTTCGCGGCTCATGCCACATCGACTGTGATTGATGGCCCCTGTTGCTCATAAACGCCAAAATATCAACAGAAGACCACAAGTAAGTAATGGCAAATATGGGAATGCACGACTAAAAGATACTGTGCTAAGAGGGAGTAATAAGAGAATGCTTAAAAGGGAGAGTTATCCTGGATGTGGAAGTGTGAGAAAAATACAGATAAGGTTTGAAAATTCATGAATGAACTTGAAACAGTGGCAAATCAAGCTAGCTTGGATTAGTTTCTATGGAATTACCTATTGAAATAGACCTAGTTAATATACAATATTGAAATAAATCTCAATTAAATAATGACAAGCCCTATAAATCAATTTCTGAATTATACTAAAGATCTTAAAGCAGTTATAGATAAGAAATTATAAACTTAAACGAATAAAAGAACTCAGAGCCAAATCTTATACAACCTGCCTGACCTCGAAACTTATAGAAGATGAAGTCTATAATATTTCCAAAAGTATATTCTTCTATTTCATATATATTTCAAAGATTTTTCAATACTTAGAAATCCTTAGCAATATGTTCTTCCGTATCCTATATATTTATTTTCTATACTGTTCGTCTACCGTTGCCAACAGGTTGTGTAAGACTTGGCGCTTGGCTCCCTTATACATTTATTATAATGTAATTTACCCTTGTATCTTGTATCTTCTGCTTACGTTACACAACCTTGCTTAAAATATGGCATACCCGACTTCACTAATATTTCCCACATTTTACGACACAAAATATCGTTTAGTGGCCGCTTTTAAGCGCAGCGCCGCAAAGCAGTTTACGCCGAGAGACGCTAAGCGTGGCACTCGAAAGTATGCAATGAATTCAGCTCGTAAAATTGGCATCCAATTGCTTACGACTCCAATTAAATGGTTGCCAAATGCGCAACACGTGGCAGACGGCACCACCCGCCCCACCGCGCCACCGCACCACCTTCAATTGCGAAACGATGGAAAAATTGTCAGCCGAAATTAGCATAACGAAGTGTTTCCCAATCAAAAATCAATATGTTTAATGTATTCCAAGTGGGGCATTGCTCTGCCCATTTCCATTTTCCTTCCTCTCTCTCTCTCTCTCTCTCTACGCTTTTTCTTTTTCATTGTCTTCCTTTGTTGTTCGCCTTTGAGTGGCGCACATGCCGCCGCCTTGAAGTGCCTTTGGCAACACAGCAGCTCCACAGTTGCCAGCAGCGGCAAAGCGCTTTAAGTTGTGGGGCACGTGGTGCGTATGGGGCACTCGCTGTGCGCTCCACCTGTTACGGCATCTTGTGGCACACGTTGCACGTTGTTCACGCAGCGTAAAATTCCATCACACACACTCACATTGTTTTGGCTTTTGAAGTTTGGCAATTGCCCCCACTACGTACCCCATGCATGTGTGTGAGTGTGCGGCTGCCTGGCAAATGTTGCTCATACGCCGCGTGTGCCACGCTGGCACTGAACTCACTTGAACACACTTGCCACTTGCCACTTGCCACTTCCCACATCTGCGTCGCGTGTTGCAGCTTAACGTGCAGCAAATCCCAGAGCCTTAACTTAATCTATTGCTTAGTGCACTGCACTCTGGCGCAGTTCATCAGGCTGCTCTATAAATATAAAGCGCTAAGCCGTTGCTCGACTTGTTGTTTATCTTTTTTCAAAATTTAATGAATGCTAAAATGCACGGGTTTTTATATTTACATTAAATTTGTATTGCTCAGAGAATTATCTATGCATCAAGACAAAATATAAAATAATAAATCTTGTGCTAGTTTTTTTTTTTTTTTTTTTTTTCAACAAGCTAACTATAAAATGGGCTTGAATTAAATATGTACATATATTGTTATAAATTTAATAAATTTTAAAATTCATAAATATTTATTCTAAACGAGCTGTCTAATATAGCTATTATTTTTAGTGAATCTGAAAGTCTAATATAAAACTATATTAATGCCAAAACTAAGCATACACTTGCATAAACTTGCAGATGTCAACATACCCCTTAGACCAGCTCATGCAGGGTATAAGCAATAAAAATAGTTAAGCGTGTGCTGAGTGGAAGTGCTTAAGTATGAGATTTTCTGGTTGTATAAACATGAGCAAATGGCGCCGAGTTCATTTTCCTAAAATAAATTACAAAGTAATCGGGTTTAGGCATGCAAAAAGGTAAATATAAGACAACTGCTCTAACAGAAGTTAGTTGAAATTAGTAGAAGATAAAGTAAAGAAAGATATATAGACAGGGATTATGTTAAAGTTTGGAGCATAATTACACATATTCAATATACTCCTGCTGTACTGATGATATGGAGTATAAACAGCAAGAATAGCAAGCAAATTTGCTCACTGAGCTGTAAGTTTCGCTAGACAGAATAAAATATAAAAACACATAGGCCATTGCCTTCACAGTATAAGAAAAAATAAAATAAATAAATAAATAAAAGTAAAAATTCAAGGCCTTGCCTACACATTATAAGAAAAAAAAAATAAATAAATAAAAATAAAAATTCAAGATGAACAGAATTTCGTGCGCCTTAATATACCCCTTCTGCCGTTCCTGAAAGAGTATAGAAAGCAAAGTCAACGTACGCTTCAAGGTCAATGCTAAGGAAGTGAGAACAATGAGAGAGAGAGAGAGAGAGAGAGAGAGAGAGAGAGGGAGCATAGAGTGCGTGGGTCACGCGTGTTTTTGTGCATTTCCTAGGGGCAGGATCAGTTGGCCACCAGCAGCACCACAGTGGCTGGGTGGTTGAGTGACCGATGCGAGAACTGAGAGTAATTAAACTCACAGCTTGTCATATGGCATGTCGCACGTAAGCCCCGGCTATTTCTGCAATGGCAACTGAATGCGCTTTTAATTGCATATGTGACGCASTCGCAATCAGCCGCAAAGCCTTGTGCTGTTTGTTTTGTGGTCGAAGGTCCTTGCCCTGTTGCAACTGGCCGTTGGCAAATGACAGATGGCAGATGACAAATGGCAAATGGAAAATGGAAAATGGCATGCACGGCACGTAGCTGGCAAATCAACATGAATAATTGAATTGAGTGTGGAATACTTTTAAGCTGACGAACTTAACTCGACTGCCGGAAAAGCCACTCAAACTCTGTCTTAAAGGGAGACAGAGAGAGAGAGGGAGAGACCGTTGTCTCTCGCAGCTCAAAAGCTGCGAGCAGGTGTTCCGCTGTGGCCTCGCAGTGTGGGAAATAGCAACGGGAGTTAACTGTGCCATGAGAGCAAACTGTCGACCACGCCCCTTGCCCCCGCGGCCGACGGCTTAAAGTGCATTTGCCGCAGAGACAAAATTGTTGCGCTTGGCTGAATATTCAATGCGCAAATGCGCAAGTAGGAAGCGACCCACAAGCAGCTGCAGCAGCGGCAGCAGCGGCACAGCTTCACCACAGTCTGCTCTCTGAAGGTCGTTGCCAAATTGTGGTGCGGCCTTAGATGAACGCTCAATGGCCAACGCTGAACGGTCGACTGAACGGCTAACCGATCCAACAATCTGTGGATCGACTGGTGTCAACGCTTCGATTCGTTTCGTTTCAACTTCACTTCAATAAAATTATAGTTTACAATCGCCCGGGCATAATTTATGCCGATAATGCGCATTGTATATCTGAAAATCTGCAATTATTGTACATTTCAGGCAAAGGCCAGCTAAGCACCACAGCACCACAGCACCACACACACAACAGCACCACAATACATGGCATTGTAGCCGATTGAAGGCAATAATCATTGTTCATACTGTTAGTTTGGCTTTAGTCTAGCTTTAGTCGCTTCTAGCTCAACTCGTTTGGCTTTTGGCTTCGCTCCATTAAAGTTTAATAAGCCAGCCAACTAACTTGGCCAACACAAATTATGTGACATATTTTGCGTCTGCTCGACTTTTTCGCAATTGCCAAATCAACTCAAAAACTGGGCACATGAAGTTTGAACAGGCTATGAAATAAATAATTATTTCAATTGCTCCACTCGCAACGCACTTTCATTGCAGCCACTTTTGCCACTTGCCACTTGCCACATTGCGCTACCTCGACCCCGCCCACCGCCCACCGCCTAGCGCCTGTCGACTCCTTGCCACCTTCTTGTTGCCCCCTTTTTGCTATTTATCAACTGGCAGTCGGCATAATTGCGAGGCGTTGGCATTTGTAATGCATTTTGCCAAGCAAATTTCAACACTTTGCCAGCTACACTGAGCGAAAAGCCAACATATATGTTCAAGATAATAATGACTTGAAATGAGTCTCAGTCAGAGATTTTTACAATCATAGCCAACTTTAATGTGCAAAATATTGAGATTTTTAATGATATTCAGGCCAAAATAAAAAATCTGAATTTGTTTACTAAATTTATAATTATAAAAATAAATTATAATAGATATGTTGAACACATTCTTTATATACCATATGACCAAAGAGATATTCAAATGTTCAAATTTTTTATTAAGAGCTGAGAATAGTGTTAAGAACCTTCTAACTTAGGTCTATCTTAGATGTATGTATATTGGAGCTGAAAATGTATAAAATACAACTTAAATCTTACCATTATAGCAGCTCATTAAAATTAAAATTTATAAATCTAAGAA